ATGAGAAGGAACCACGCTCTTAAGGCTCCGCAGTTGTACTGCTGTTGGGCGACACGGACTCCGGGTCCAACAAGTAGTCCTCCTCAGGCCTTCTGTGCATATTCTACTCTTTCGTCCTCAGAAAAGTCTCGGGGTGCTGCACTATGATACGTCCTTATCGACGTACTCAACAGCAGCTTTCAACTTCGGACAGAAATTCTTCCAAGATCAGATACAAAATGAGGCCTCAAGAATAAAACATCTCCCGAGTCAAGCAAATGTATAAGCATATGGACTTGCAAACCCTGTTCTTCTCGTTTTCGGTGACCTCCTGTAGCATATTTTCATCCATGCCCTATGATTGTGGGTGTGGGTCCATCTGAAACAGTCGAGAACATTTTTTGGCAATGTTCAGCATAAGGACTAAAACTTTACATTTGCACCATGTAACAACCAACACAGAATGGAAAGCCATGATAGAAGCTGCTTGAAAAATGGGCGTGGCATGCTACAAAGCAACAGATGACAACAAACTTTAGGAAACTAGCTTTATATTATTTACTTCGTGCACATTCACCAAAAAAATGCTGAGTTTAGACTGGATGGTCTGTTGACTACACTAGATGAACGTACAGGTCGCTGTTTATTCCCAAAGCCTCCACTCACTGTATTTAACCTGGAGAACATACCCTTGCTTATTCTCAAACAGCTTATTATCCCGTTACACAATCCACACACCACATATCATTACTTTTAAAAGTAGATGCTTCTTTTGTGTTTGTAGTAAGCCACGGATGCAAGTGATTAGCAGGAGTTGTTAACTTGCTCAAGGCCAAACCATTACCACTGAGCCCTCTCCATACCGTTCGAGACTCGAACATAAGGGCGAAGGGTGAATAGTTTATTAGCTACCGGCAGGGCTAGGATGTGTTTAGTGAACACACACTGTGGGATGTGGTGGCCGTGGGATATGGTGTCAATGGCCTTCCCAACAAGAAGTATTCTTAAATTATCTACCTAGTACTATGAAGAACTGGCAGGAATTAATTTGGTTATCTCGTGCCCATTTGAATTACATCTGCTGCTGATAACCTATTTCATCTGTATATTATTTTGCGGTTTCGGTCGGTCTTACAGTATGCATGTATGTCTACAAGGAGTGGACTCCTGTGATCCTAACCTGCTTAAATTACTGCGAATTATGGGAAAACTCAAGTGTGCTCAGAGATTTGATTTGCTGACGAAATCGGAATACGCTACATCAAACTGGTAAAACATTCAAGCTTTTTATTCGCATTGACAATTACTTCGATAATCCATTCTACGAGCTGCCGTTCCGAAGTGAGAATGGTAGAAAAATGTGTAGGTTTAGCATAATGCCAATATCCAAGGTATTGTAGGAAGTGTGTGTCGCGGTTACAACTTTACCCCTGTAGGCAATCTTATCTGGTAAAGCTGTCTTGACTGAGCTCCTGCGTTGTCCACCTAGCTTCATCCATGACCAAGGGACGCAAATAGGTAACCTCGGAATTGAATCGTAAAAACAGAGGCTGAGCTTGAGTTTTAAATCCACCCATGATGCAATTCAGTAGTTCGTGCACCAGATGAGCAGAGCAATGAATCGTCCAACAGAGGTGTAGGGAGATTCGTGTCCAGTTTTTGGTTAGAAAATTAAAAATGTTTCAATCCGTGATCAGCCATGCTTGCTTCAAAAAAAACAAAATAATGCGTTTTCTACTGGCAAATACTAAGTAGATCGCCTGACACAAAGTAGCACCTCCAAACTAGATGTGAACCACAAATGTAATATTGCACCACACACACCTGCCTCGTCTCCTTACTCACCATCATCCTAGCTATCCCTTTGTACGCCTTTTTTGCTCTTAGCATCTCCATGCTCTCAATGCTGTATTGTCGGCGACATTGTTTGTTTTGAAGAGGTTAACAGTTCGCGTACCTCAAAGGCGGATTGAAATTTTTGATAGAATTGGGTCACTTTGTGAAGAAATAAATTGTATTTTCAAGGGACATGTGATTCGAAGCGGTTATAGATTGTTGGTGAGATTAACGCCTACCAAATCAGCACAGAAGCCTCATCCCAAAGACGATTTAAATTCTAAAATGGGAAAAAGTTTAATATGTTAAAATTGCTAGTCTTTTGCCTAATTTAGGTTTAATATACAACATCACCGGAGGATGTATGCGATGAGAATAAGTCATAATTTGATATATGCAAACTACTGGATTTTTTCAAATAAGAAGAGATCCATTTACAAGAACTTCTTTAAACAGATAAAACTTTAGTAGCATTTAGAATCATTTACTGGGTAAGCAAGTTTAATTAATCCTTTAATTAATCCTTACTAAATCCTGTATTTTTTTATCCACTCTTGAAGTGCACGTTCAGCACCCGATACTGCATGCTCCACATTTTAATGAGCCTCGTAGCCGCACTAAATTGGTATTTCGAGGTTCGTATCTGTCCAGAATTTAAAATTAAGACTAAAAACTAAGGACAAGAAGTGCTTTAAAATGGAATGGTGTTGCTATCATTGTACGCTGACGTTGGAGATTGCAAGGGCGCAACAGGAACGAGACGTTGAATTAGTTGTGAGGTTACATTAGAAGTATGTGACTAAGAGTAACTTAATTTAAAAAGCCGTTTTATCATTTTGGGTCAAAATTTACTTCTCATTCCTGACCTTGAATTTCCTATTACAGATGTAAGTTCCCCGCAGCATAGAAATGCGTGAACTTACTTCATCCTAAAGCGGTTCCCTTTAGTTGCCTGGATTATGTTAATTAGATCCTTTGCCAATGGAATGATCCCAGTGGCGTAAAATTGTTAAGTTAATATTTCGGTTGGCGAAGCGGTTGTTGTGGAAGAGGACGAAGCGAACGCTGTTTGCACTAGTAAATTTTGACAACAGTAAAGCAATCCACTTCGAGGAAAGAAGAGAAGAAGTGACCTTTCCTGCCTGCTCCATCTTCCTTTTCTCGCTTTAGTCCTCTCCGCCCTATGTAAATAACTTCGTTAGTCTGATCATTCGTCGCCTTCTTTTAGCCCTTCATTCCACTCCAGAGATCCCTCCAGTCTGCCTGCAAACTACAACATCACAGTTTCATCACTAAGGTGATCACGAGATAGACTATGAGGAAGAAGGATAGCTGTCTTCATATGTTTGTAGATTTTCTCTTTTTCTTGAAGGTTTTTCAGCCTCTTATGCGTATGGCTTTGTTGTTTGCTGAATGTCAGTGTGAACTTTAATGCCTAATGAGGTTTTTACCAACTCGTTGCATCGCCGGTGATAGCGGATTTAACTTTCCAAGATTTGTTACTTCTATCTTCTCATCCCTCCAAATCCAGAGACAATTTGGCTCTCTCTCAGATAATACTGGAGTTACCCCCTGCCTTCGGCGTCCTGTCGCAGTCAAACGCCGACGCCGCAGCGTCTGCAACCAAAAGTGTTGCTACGCTTACGACTTGACCAGCAATTACGGGTTCAATCGTTCATTTAATTTATTTTTTACGCTCGCCAAAATTTATGAGAAATGAAATTCCAGACGTCACTCAAACCATGTAGGTTCATAAATTTATGAGACAGTCAAAATATTCGCGTAGTTTTTATAACCAAGAGCAAATAACTAGGGGCTTTCCAAACAACTTTCGACGTCTAAAATAATCCAAACTGCAATTTATAATCCAATCCTTTCTCAATGAGACACAAGTTTACCGGAAGTCGCATCTACAAATCAGCAAAAGACAATCCAGACTATCCCTCTCTTTATCCCATGCGATCGTGTGTCGAGAGCCAAGCAAAGGTGATAAACACCCGAAGAAACATCACGAGAAGACTATGAAAGAAGAGTTGAGGCAACGTGCCCCTCCTTCCCTCCCATCCCATATTGTAGCAGGGAGTCATAGCATCTCTTATGTGAATGGGATTTTCTTCCGGATCATTTACTAGTCCTAGCTTGATTTTTAAAGAGCAGTTTTTTTTGCCCAATTTTTTATTGTATCGAGCCTTGAGGAGTAGAGAGATCCCAGTTGTAGGTGGACAAATTTTGATGAACACTTGCACCTGCGGTTCACTACAAAACCCAGAGTAAACTTAGTCGTCTGTGCCTTAGAAGAGGGAAATGAATGGTGAGATGATGGGTCCTTTGGAAATAACTAACGGTCTGACCGTTTTTTTAAAGACCGATAAAATGAATGATTGCGTAAGGCAGTAAACAATCCAAACTGACCTACGTATTTTCACAGCTTAGGTGAAAGAAGCAAATAACGGATTGGTGGTTTTTGAAGCCTACTAAAGTCGGTTATTGCATGGCCTGTAGAACACATTTGGTAGGTAGTTTATGCTACTTCCTCCCCCAGTCGATGCAGATGTTGGCGATTCGCTTCATCACTAAAACTAAGCATGAATGAAAACCCCTGAAGCCCTCATCTCAAGTCCTCTTGTCAACATTAAGGTGCAATTCTTCACCAGCAAAGAAATCAGTTTGCCCTGAGCGTGGTAAATCACCACTTGATGGCGATTAACCAAAATCAAACTACCTTTAATAATCAGCCACAATAACCCCTCCATTAAACACCACTATCACTTCTACTTCTGTCGGCATGAGTAGTATGGGCATGGGCAGAAAAAAAATGGATTTAAGTGATTCTCTTCCTTTAATCGAGCAACAATGAAACAGACACTTCCGATTCATCGCAGTACTTACACGAAACACTGCAAAATTCAGATTATCAAGGTCCCTGCTGACCGAAACCAAAGCTTCAAACAGAATTTCGTTCCCATAAAACTTAGCAGCTAAGTCTGTGGAACTGTAACCTGGAAGAACAATTAATATATCTCAGCGTCGCAAGAGAGGTTAACAGGGATGTCTAGAGTATGCATCCAGAAGGAGTTTAAAAACATCGGGATTTACTTTATTGAACAGCAAAGTTGCACATGGAACAGATACCCTCACATTGTCATTCATAATCACGGAGAATGAAAGGACAGACAGAAACAGATCTAGGAGGACATGACTCGGGTAGAGGTATGAGTGGCGATGGTGTTGAGGTTGGGAATGCGCCGAAAGAGGACACTAACAAGGAAGGTGGCAAGAGCCCCGAGAGTAAAGGCAATGGAAGGACCGACCAACCACATCAATCCACCAATCAGACCGGGCCCCACAGAACGCGCCAGACCACCCAGGGAACGGAAGGTACCCATTGTTTGACCCTGTAAAAGAAAGATATCATGACAGATGGTGGATAAGAGGTCCGGTGGATACGCCACAAAAATCACCTGTTGTTGGGGTCCTATGGAGAGTGAGGCGAGGCCGTTAAAAGCGGGCACGAAGGAGCCAGAGGCAAAGCTGAAGAAGACCAGTCCCAAGTAGAAGAGTAATTCGCTGTTTGAGAAACCGAGAACAAGATAGGCCAGTGCTTGAATACCCATCGCCTGAAGGAAGGAAACACCGCATTATCCGAAATTATGGCTACTTGGATGTTATAAGTGGAACATTTCTACCACAACGCCAACTCACCCAGCAAGCCGTTTTAGCCTCGCGACCACCCTTGAAGCGTTTCACGAAACCACCTAGCATCAATGAAGATAGATTTGTAGGTAAATAAGTGTAAATTGTGCTGATGTATTCGTGCAGCACGCTGACCACTCACTTTGGATGATAATCATAGTTACACCAGTGGTTATGAAGATTCGCCCCTGGTCTTGACTGAAATATAAAGTAAGATTTAAAAACCACCATTGATTAGGAGTTTTAAAATTTTGTAGGTTAATTTTCTTGGTGAAAACCTAGTCGATGACACTCCTGATTCTCACCACATTATTCGGATGTGATTTTACATTTGGCACCACCACCTCGCAAAACCAGCATTGCGGTGTTTACGTTTGACTTCTTTACGTAGCATAGCCCTGGTAAAATAATGTCACGGTGATTTGCAAATGAATGCCTTTTTCTCTGGATTGAAGAACAAGTCACAACCCAGAAATACTGATAGAGATGGTCAGTCTACAGTCAACAGGCAGTAAACAAGACTATACAAGCGAATGAACCAGTCAAAATTCGCCTCGATCAACTGACGTGGACGCTCAATTTTCAGGTCAACGGATTTGACTGCAAGTGGTGCCAGTTGGCCAAAATTGGATGACATCGAATGACAACTCACCCGGTATAACCGAATCGAAGTTGAGCAAGGAACAGGAGAGAGCACTCAAGGCCGGAGAAGAGAAGCATGTTAAGAAAGAACACTCGTGCCATTTGCTGCAGTTTCGCTTGCACTGAAGAAGTGAACAAAACACACCGCAGTTATCGTCAGGGTTTAATCATGAATCGTGAGAAGCGAATAATCACCGTGTAAAAAAATACAAGGCCTCTTTTGAGTCGTCGACCATCAGTCATCTCAGCGTGATTACTAAATGAAGCACCTGAAGTATCTCGACATAGTACAGGCAGCAAAACGAAGAAGGCGTTAAATTCTGCCCAGACTAACACGTTCTGTGTCTATGTCACACACAAGGTGAAGTATGCTTAATCACTTAATAACAACTGACCGCACCAAGTTGTGTCGTGAACGGATTGATTAAGCTTGAGCCAACGAAATGGATTCAAGACACCCGTGTTTTAAGACTAGGTATTTTTTCGATTTTTGAGGATATAGTTTTTAGTAGAGACCATCTTTTGTAGGCTGTGGTGAAAAATGTTCCACTCAGGCTCCGCTAGTGAACGCGTCAAATGATAACCGAATAGGCAACGTAAATTTTAACTGTCGCTACACAAGTCCGAAACGATAACGGCGTTAATCGGTGTTTGGTGACCGAACTATGGTCACATAGACCAATGGAAAAGTTGGGTGTTTTGAAGAATTATGACTAAACCTGACACGACAGTGGTAAAAAATAGTTGTAAAACATTTGCACGTACCAATTTTATCTTCAATGTTGCGGAAACGGAAGAGCTCCAAAGGATTGAGCAGTTTCAGCGACTGCCAGAATGATCCACTTGAAGCACCCTGAGGGGTTTACAATAAGTTTTCAAAATACTTAAAAATATTCCCTCAGATAAACGGATAAGATGACTAATGACCAACAGTCCCTTCATGACACAGCATTATAGTCACACATTTGGGGGTTTATAAACTGCGTAAGTTAAAACCACGATACGGGAGAGTGAAAACTGTTGTTTGGAATTATAAATAATCTTTCTAAAGATGTGCTAACGATCAGAAAAGGTAACTCACGGTTCACATTAGACCTAGCTCAAAGACGAAGGACTTAAGCTCCTACTTTCCACTTAAGAATGACAGTTTGTCAGTTTAGAAATTTCATCATCCTATAACTCCCAAAGTGGATTTGATGAACGGGCTTGAACTCACCTCCTTTTTGACTTTGGCATCATCATCCTTCCCATCCGGTAGAGATGCAGTCTCCGGGAAGGAAAAGAGGCAAATGTAGTCAAGAACGGCAAGAGAGGCGGCGGCTAGACCAATATGGGGTTCAAGAACGCTGACGCCAGCCTCAGAATTGAAAAAGAGGCGGCCGAGAAGCCAAGCACTGGCCGGAGGACCGACCAGGAAGGCGATGGAGTATGCGACACCGACAGTGGCCATGCCACGGGTTCGTGTCTCACGGTCAGAGACGTCCGAAACCATGGCCGAGAGTACGCCGACGTTGGCACGTGATACGCCACTCAGAATGCGCGCCAGTACAAACCAAATGAAAGAGGCACCAGAGGCTGACCAGAGTAGATAGGAGATGACACCCAGCGTCTGCATAAAATAGGTAAGTAGAATACGTTGCAATTAAGCAGTAAAAGTAGAGAAGATAAAAACTTACATGGAGAGTGAGAAGAACAGGTTTACGACCGAGGGAATCAGACATGGCGCCAGATGTGGAAGAGGAGACGTACTGAGCTAGAGACATGAGTGAACTGGAAATGCCTGCAACGAGAGAAAGAAAAACGAACCTCTCTTTTTGTGAGCAGTAATGTAGCTTATGCCACCTTCTTTTGCAAAAACTTACTGCCAACAAATGATGCATCGCGAGAAGAGAGCTCTGCTCCTTCAGGTACGCCTAAAATTTTGCCATGAACAAACCGCCTAATAGCAACCAAAGTCATCTAGAGCAGAAAATAGACCCACCTATTTTAAAAATTTAAATTAGTTAAACAATGAATGGAACTGCAAATTAACTACTTACATCCTTCTCACACATTTCCTTGATAATAGTGGGAAGCCATGGCAACATAAGGGTCGAAGCCATCAGGTCAATTAGGAGGTAGCAAAACATTATGAACAACAATCCTTTCCTCATCTTTCTGCAAAAGAGTCCACAACAAAAGAAAATGTTTTGTAGGTGTACAAAAGCATTGCGTGCAACAAAGACTAAATTCTATCATATTCTGCAAAAACTACTTTATTTTGCCCAAAGTACAAAAAGTATGAAGGGTTGTTAAAAAGCCTAGATCAAGTCAAGAACCCATACATATGAACACAATTCAATTTGCAGAATTTAAAAGTGGAGCACCACAACTCAGACCTAGGTAACGTATATTTAAAAATTGTGTAGGTTAGGTGCTATTTTGCATAGAACGCTCCAGAATCTACAGAACAAAAACGCATGTCGAACGGGAGATTGTTTAATGTAAAGTTACTAGAAGCCCACGCGGTGAGATAATGACCCTGGAGAGGCGCACCAGCCCACTCAGTACTCAATGACGTAATGCCGGGAGCTCAAGTCTGGCGCGAGGCCTGTTTGACCTTAAAGGTGTAGCTGAACGTTATAATGTCTTCACACATAATCTATTTGTAAAAATGCTGCTGATTAAAAGCTTGTCTGCTTTTAAAGTCAGAAACTGCAATACCTAAAGGAAGCAATGAAGCAACTGAAGCATTTCTACACCACTTGCTAACACTTTCAAAAAGACTCGGTTATATAAATTAAGAATGAATCTGTTAGTACACCTTAAGCTTCAAGAAAATTTAACGTTTTTTTAGCATTTTGGGTCTTTTTGGTGTTATGGCATCCCAACATCACTGTAAATGCACCAGCAACTTGGAGACAAGCCTCAAGACTATAGGCAACCGTGAAATGCGGTATCGCTGGGATGGTAGTTGAAGTCGCGGTAATTAAAAAGCTCCACAACCAAGTAGTGGGCTATAAAATGCGACAGTGTTCCCTAGTTATCGTCTTTTGAGCTTCCCATGTGGCTAATCCCTTAGTCAACCATCCACACCGGCCATTACAGCATAGTTGGTGCTTTAGAAAAAATTTACTAGCCAGTGACGATATCCAGTGAAACTCATGAGAGCCAGAAGACTTCTGGCTGTAGTGCTGGTAATGCATTTTGCCAAATGCGTCCCATTTAGAGTTTAAACCTCCTTGTGAAGTGTAGTGGCTTCATATTGCCCAAATTTCGCCAATGCTTCCCGAAGCGTATGTTTTCTATGCTGATCATCTCTCGTGTGAACGTTTGGCACTAAAATCAAGTAACTCTTTCTATTTCCTGTTGCCACTTTGTTCCCATTTCAATACTACACCACCATCTCTATGGGTTCTGTTCAGCTATTGAAAACGTGAAGGCATAAATTTCCCGCGTTTTTTGTAAATCTTCGCAAAAATAATTTAGACAGTTGCCTGAATTGTTATTCAATTCAGGTCAGGTCTAGCATTAGAGTAGGACGGTTGTCAAGAATGGACCCGAGTCTGATAATTTTAAAATTGTGGGACTCCGCAGGTTCAGCCACCTTGTGGCAGGCCCTCCTTCTGTAACCAAACAAATACCGGGTTGTTGTACTTTTGGATTGGGGCCGCTTGTTGCTGCCACCGGCTTAGCACACCAAGTCTCCCCTAAAACCAGAATAGGCCATGCTAATTTGAAGAAAAATTTATTCTCTCTGCATAAAAGGAGCGCACCCGGCCGGTCACGCAACCAGGATCGATCTAAAAGCGGAAGCGACTAAAGAGCGGACCCACTTAGATATGCAAGAAACAAATACTGAGTGACCAGATTCATCTACATTCCCCCATGCGCCTTAGTTGCAGATATTCTTATCGCCCACACCAACTCCCGGAATGTGACGAGTTCCCACCAGTTGCAACTATGGCAGCACATCTCACGGATACTGCTTGTCCCAACAAACCCTATTCATCTAACAGATTATACACGATGCCAAACCTTTGGTAGAAGATCCTCACTTGAAGCGTGGCTCAGCTGCTACCAAAATGCTTACAAGCTTACAATCGAAGCCAGGCCACCTGTTAATGGCAAAAGTATCCAGTGAAGGTAACCAAAAAAACAATCTAAGCAATAGGTATGTTCTGAGCGATACATATGTACAATTTTGATGAAACACGTTCAATCAACCGAAGCGTGCCATCTTTTCCAGGATGTCAGACTCGAAGGTTTCAAAGGACATCTGGGGAGGATAAAAAATATTCTTACAGACCACCACCAAATATAAGGGTTGCAGAAGAAATACGTACAGTCAGCAGACTGACATGGCAGAATTCTGTAAAATTAAACAGCTAGGATGATCATCTTACATTATCTGATGGCTGATAAGTCGTAGGTGATGGAGGCCTTGGATGCTTTGTCGAGGCAGGGGCAGGATCAGCTCCTGACTCATCATGAGGAGCAGGACTAACAGGCCATGAAACCTTCAGCGGATTTTCCATATGTCCTACCGATCCTACAGACGCTGCTTTTATGGCATTCTCCTATCAATTGAAAAAGAAGATTAATATCACCAAGAAAATGAGACCCCGAAACTGCCAACCAATTGGAAGACTTACGGCCTCCAACCTGGAAGCAAATTCTACCACTGCGCTGCATTTCTTCCCAACTATCACATTTAGCACAGTTCCAAACTAAAAGTCGAAACATGGGGGTAAAAGCAAAACAAACGAATTAATGCTACCTCACGCAGACATGTGTACAAAAATTCCCTATTGTACAAAAGAGACCCATGTTTATTCTTCCACTTCACCTAAAAATGAGAAAAAGTAGAATGAGAATATAAGGTTTGTAAAAAAATAGACCTTATGTGGTAGGCATTTTGAAACTGCTCCTGCCGCATAGATGGGATTCAAAGCCGAATCGCCTTACACTGACGATAACATGACCATCTGATGTTCTAGAAGCAGCTTTAACGGTGTCCAAATGCCCACGCCGTGCGGCACAAGCAGCGGCCTCCCGTGAGGCCTCCCAATCCTTTCTGATTCGTTCGGCAATCCTGTTCTTTTCAGCCATTCTGTTGGCCTCTTCACGCCGAGCAGCAGCCTCCTTCTCCCTTGCCTCAAGAACTACAGAAAAACGGTAATAAAGCGAGAGAAGCTCACAATACCTTCTTTTAGGCGACGACGCTCATCATCGAGTTGTGCATGTCTTTTCGCAGCGGCGATTTTGGCTTTGATTCTCAGATCATACTGACTCTACACACATCAAATCAACATATGCCTCACCTTGCGAGCTGGGTCCAAGAGAATGTCGTGATAATCCTTAAGTTTCTGGAACTTCTCCTCTGAGAATATGCGATCAAATACTCAGTGACATACTTGCTTGTGGGTCGCCCTTGTTTTTGTCAGGATGTAATTCTTTTGCTTTAATCTTGTAGGCTCTTTTAATCTCTTTCGCGGAACTCTCAAAGGAGATCCCAAAATACTCGTAAAGGTCAATCTCTATCTCAAAGGCCATCGGAATAGCAGACAAATCACGTACATTCAATCAATAAGCTTGGTGGTAAAGCCACTAAGTAATTAAAAAAATCACAAACCTTATTGGTTGCCGTAGTATTTTTGGCTAGGGGCAAAAAGTAATTATTAATAATTCATCATAATCAATGCAAATTCGTTGATTGTCATATCACAAGGTATATTTTTAAATGGCAAACTCACCCTTGTTCCAAACACGCCAAAAACGTTATGTTAATTTATAAAAATAATTTTAAAAGTTACAGTATACAGTAAATCCGATTTTAAAACAAAGCTATTTATAGACAAGTGGTTTTGGCAGTTACCTATAAACGTACTACTTATAAGAATTAGAATTTAGTCTTTTGATTTTGCTTAGTTGGATGTAGAGGAAAATAAACCTTGTCAGCTGTTACCTTCTACCTCGAATAGTGCGCCTGTTTGGAGGCAATTTGAGCTACCTTTATTCCTCGTCGTAGTTGTGACATCCTAGATACTGATCCCTGAAAATGGATAAAGAGCTGTGTGATTTCCTCTCTAGCATGCAGAGTCGGCTATTTGAGTTTTATAAGGAGGGGAAGTTGACCAATGTTACATGGATTGTTGGTGCAGAGGGCGGTGAAGAGGAATACATAGATGCACATTCCTCAATTTGTGCTCTGTCTACCCGTCTCAAGGAGTTGATGTTGGCTCATTCAAAAGGCCAAATGAGAGTTCGAATTAGAATCCCACCGTCCCTTACGTCATCTCCCTCTGATCTCCGAAGCCTGCTGCACCTGGCATATACAGGAAGCTTTGAAGAAGACCGTTCACTAGACGAATATTTCCGCCTATGTGATTTATTTGATATGCCACTTGGAATCGATGCTTGCTTACGTGCATTAAACAACCTCTTAACTGAGTTACTATTTCGTTCGAAAGTTGATAATGAAACGCAAAATAGCTTAAGAGATTACTTTGCTCTTTCCATTGATAATTCCAATATGAAATCAGTTCGCCGAGCTATGCTGGACTTCTTCAGAATGTATCCCCTCATTTTTGATAGTAAGTTTATCTCGTTTAGGCCTTGTATTCGGAACGACAACTAGTAAATCCTTTGTCAGTCTCCAAATTTTTACTCTCTGTGTTGCCTGGGGCTAGGTTTCAGTCTTTCCCTAACAGTTTTGCTTTCCTAGCCGAGTTATGTCTTTCAAAAGTGCCCTTTGAATGGGTCATGGAACTTCTTAAGAGAGGCCAGCTCTGGATGCGACACCCTGACGGATTCGTCTACTTTGGTGAAAAATATATGAGTGAAGTGACCCAGGTATTGTCAGTATTACTTGTTCCAACCCTCCAACTAGTTCGTTGAGCGTCTATGCGCGGCTCACACCGTAGACCTTATCGAAGTCAAGGTCGCTACAACCGACTCAATGTTTGGTACGGAGTCCGCTTCCTCTATAGGTTATGTTCTTAGCTCCTCTTCATGTTTCAAACTCGATATCCCCCTCCTTTGGCTACCATAGCATGTATGCCGCCAACTACAAGTAAGCCAATACCTAATTACTACATCCTGTTAATAAGCTACTCCGAATTTGAAGGGGAGTATCAGACGCACGACAACTACCCACCAAATGAATGGAAGATCGGGGCACTCACTGGCCACATCACAAAAGACTGGGACGGGCGACGCGTACTAGCAGGTACTTAGCTCAAGTCACTTATCCCGCTTTCCTGAAGGGCTTGATGTCACCTACCGGAATTTACAGACAGGAGTAGAAGAGACCGTGGAATGGGGACGCCACAACGAAGAGTACTACACAGTGTAAGCAACCACGTCGCATTAAACCGCTCCCCTGTGTAGACAGAAGGTCTTCGTCCCCGAAGACGACGTTATAACCGGTTTTGAGATCAACCACGGGTGGCTCATTGATCACATAACCTTCACGACACGTAGAGGTGTGCGCCTCGACCAATTGGGCAGCTCCGACGGTGGAAATAGAACAGTCTTCGACGTCAGCAGCTTTTCGAGCGGGGTTATGCACGAATGGACTGATAGCCGTCGGACCGAGAACAAATCCGACGATGTGATCGTGTCGTTGCACGGGATTTCGTACAAGGAGATTTCATCACATGGGCAAATCTTGTGGAATCAGGTTGTATTTCACTTTGCCAGCGTCGACAGATCACTCGTTGAAACCCTGAATCCGGAATGGGGGTCAGCCGTCCATCAAATGCTCCAGGGCAAACAAATTCTGCTCTGATACTACAACAGACCACTCACGATCCCGTTCTGTACCTTTAACTCTATCTACTTCATACAGATATCACGCAGCCCCTACACAAAATAAAATAATTTATCTCGCGGTCTCGAACCTAGCTAGAATGCACCCATGGTACAGTACACGAGACTCACGACATGAGTGCTCTATCTACACTTGAACAGCATTACGTTGACGAGGTAGAAGGGCTGATCGGGTTTGGAGAGTGACAGATATGAACCCCAAAACCGACATGCCAAGGTGCAAATGAGCACTACGCTCGGGCGGAATTGCAAGGCAACACAGTAGTTGTCCGCATCATTTATTCGATGTACACTAGTTCTTCTTGACCTCCTTAGTTGATGTAGCCTGTTTTCGTTTGTTGGCCTGCAGGATGGCACTAGCCCTTCGTAAGGCAAGCTAAAGCGTAGGTAAAACCAAGCGTAAAATCCTACCATTTTCAATTCTCGGCGGTATTTCATGAGGCAAACAAAGTTGCGGATTTTTTGGAGAGTCCGCCTATTGCCACGCACAAACTTTATCCGCGCAAGAGCCTTTCTGGGTCTGTGGTCGAAACCAGCCTTTTTGGTGATAAAATAAACACCCTTCCCGCCCTTTTCTTGCTTGATGCCAATCGCCTTTTTATGAACCATACCACTGTACTTAAAGCAATTTTTCCCCTTCATGTTCAGTGGGTCACGACTGAATTGTTCGCCATTGCGTTTCATGAGAAAGCAATGCGTGTTCTTGATGAGCATCCAGTTGAGGTGAGAAGCCATTGAGAAGACAGCACGGCCGATGAACAGCAAACTACCAGCGGTCAAAGCAGCCACTCCACGTGAGAATTAAAACAACAAGTCGATAAGCAAATTCGTGGAAGTGTATCCTAAATATGGCTATTTAACCTTTAGCAAATGTTTATTTTAGAAAACCCTATTGCAAAATAATTCATTGCAAGGATTTTGAATATCTACAACAGTTACGTATTAATAATAAAAAAAAAAATAATAACTAGCCTTTTACCAAAAGCAAGAGTTACACAAACATTCAGAGCTTTCATAATTTCTCTTTTTCTTTAAAAGTTCTTCTCCAAATTCTCCTCGGTCAACCCAACCGTTAACTATCGCATAAACCGGTGCCGTAAGTAAAAAATTGTAGCGTCTCGAGGCTTTCCTGAGGACAAAAGAAGACACAATACTCTGGCAGAATATATATTCAGCACAGAGAAGGTGTTTAGGCTGTTGGCATGGCCTGAAGGCCAGCCCACTCAACGATGCACAAGAAGGCTAATTCCAAGTACAAAAGTGGCGCCTCACCAAAACCAAGGGATAAGCCACCATTGTATTATAAAACCCACACGCCAACCACGCCAGTCATCGAATTTCTAAGCAACTAAGGGTATGAACGACCTCAACGCCACTGATTCCTTTTGTCAATCCAAATGGATGTTAGTCTTGTCCTGTATGAAAAATGGATTCAAGGACAAAAATTGTGCCAGTCATCATTTATGTTCTCATATAGACGTAAAAATACCAGTCTGAAGCAGATTTTTGTAAGTAAGGACGAATTTATGGTAGTCCTATGGAGGTAGAATTCTAGGCCTGTTCTTCGTTTCTAAATTGTTCGTATTTTAGGGCTCCACAGTTATACATATTTGGATTCTGTTCAGTAAGTAGAGAAATAAAGGAAGTATCAAGGGTCAACATTGTCAATATCTTTGTAAAGCCACTGTAAACACCTCCGTAACGGAACTTTAGGATGAATCACGACCCTTGCCGGTTTTGTTGTTAATAGCATTAATGCATAACACAGGGTTGGGGTAGTTGCAAAAGACAGGAGTCATTTTCAGCGTTTCTGTTATGAGTCCCCACTGATTGCCCTGTCTGTGGCACATGTACTTCTTCCTCTTAGCTAAGGTTTATCGTCTAGCCATAAAGATCAGAATAGATGGCCTTCAACATCGAGTTTGCTACTCAATGCCACCAATGCAGCACTCTGAGATTTTCCTAAAGGCGGAAAAGCATCATGCCTTAGGAGAATATGCATATCCAACATACAGTAGGACCTGGGTTCACTAGCATGGCTTAGAGGCCAGCCCTCACCGTGAAGTTTCTGTAATACGATTATTGTATATCTCGCGGTGTTGACGAGGAGTCATTTTTGGCTTAGACTTTGTACCTTGTCAGATAGGCGGGTTTTTGGGCCATGTCAGTAGCCCAAATACCTTCTCTATGCCGAATATATGCATTCTGCCCGAGTATCATGTCTTCTTTCGTCTTCAAGGAAGTCTGAAAACTCCACATTACAATGCCAAATAAGCAAAGTAGCCCTTTACCAAGCCAGGAGTTTTGCAAGTAAGAAATGCATCACAATATAGCTAGTAATAATTATAACTTTAAAAGCAGAGCTACAATGTAATATGTATCTATATTGATACTTTGTTTGTTAGAAAGTAAAAGTCACGTCTACTTATTGGCCAGTGCAGCCATCCAAATCGTCAGAACTAGAATTGAGTATTTTTGTAAATGAAGATATTTTCATTTACAAACACGAATACGTGCATAAACACACGAACCTAGGCACCACTTATAAATATCAAAAACGCCAAGACCTTTATTTAAATTTTATAGCTTAAAAATTCACTGTTTAATAAAATGCCTTTTAAAACAGGTTTTTTTCGTATTTAAGGGGTGCACTGTGCCTGCATTTATTTGTTGTGCATTCACGTTATAATGCACTGCCGTTGGGTTTTGCACGCAGTTTCATTTTCGTCTCGTAAGTCTGTGAGCCGAGGATGGCTTTGGCGTCTCAGGCCGCCTTATTAGATGAGTTACTGGGGAAGAATCGGGATGCCATAGATAGCGATGCAATGAAAGGTCCGCATTGGTCAGATGAGGATATGTGTAGATATTTTCTCTGTGGGTTTTGCCCCCATGATCTCTTTGTAAACACAAAAACGGATCTGGGTCCATGCGATAAGATGCACGATGAGCGGCTTCGTGAGAACTACAGAAAGAGTAATCGATTCGAAAAAATGGGCTATGAGGAGGAGTTCTATCGTTACCTGTGCTATCTCCTCGAGGATGTTGATAAACGTATTCGACGTGGCCATGAGCGCCTTTCAGTGAACAAGGGTGCTGCCCCGGCTGATCCTGAGGCAGCAGCTGAGAAGGCTGATAAGATAGCTTCATTGACTAGGAGGATCAATGATCTTGTTGAGCAGGCTGAACAACTGGGCACGGAAGGCAATGTTGATCAGGCTCAGGGTGTGCTCAAGCTCTGTGAGCAATTGAAATTCGAAAGGTCTCAACTCGAGGGCGATACGCGGCCGGGGGCCGGCCAGGTAACTTAACCATTTTGACATTAACTAATCATAGTCTAAGGAGTTGGAGGTTTGTGAGATTTGTGGAGCCTTTCGAATAAAAGACGATGCGCCTCAGCGAGTGGAAGAACATCTTGCCGGGAAAATGCATCTTGGTTATGCGAAAATTCGTGATTACGTAAGGGAGTACGGAGAAAAGCGTCTGAGAGAAAGAGAGAGGGAGCGTGAGGCGAGGGCCTCTCGCCAACGTGAGCGCCGTCGTAGCCGTGACAGGAGCAAGGAGCGTCGGTAAGTTCTATTTGTCTACTTCTTCATCCAAAATACGACAGACTTGCTGCTGGATGATTATATCGACACCGACTTATCAGGTATTTCCCTTAGTGCAATTTTACTCGTTAGGCCATTCGGTCGATCCAGAATGGGAGGCGTCTCTTAATTGAAGGTACTTTAACTTATTTAAACAAACTTGTCATTTTGAAATTAGTTAAACATTTCTGCAAGAGCTTCCCAAAGATTTCGGGTTTTTATAACGACAGTGCGTTCGTAGTAGGCCGGACAGTGATTGGAAGGTAACCAACGTTGGTGCTCTTTATTTATAAAGCAGATATAAATGTAGCACTTCTGTACTAACAGTATCTTCTGTTCTTATACCAGATCCTCCAAGCATAGGGACCGGCACCACCATAGTGGGAGTCATCATCGCTCAAGCCACGGCGACAAGCGACGTCGCGATCGTTCAAGATCTCGCTCTCATTCTAGGAAGCATCATGATCGACATCAGCGCCGCCATAGCGAACGTGCCTCGCACAAACCACCAAAGAGGACCGTATCTCCTTTCAGTGCTGCCCGTAGGCCCCCAGAGGGCGCCGAAGATGACTAGATGTAACCCCGTTGTTATCACCGTTGTACATAAAATGCAAACTTATTACTCGTTTTCTATTTCTGCCTTCTGATGGAGGTTCATGTCTGCTCATTCTGATCTACTTGCACTCCGCCGAGAATGTGTTCAGGGTTTGTGAATTGAGTAGGTCTAGTGGGGCTTATTCTCCCAGGGTACAAACTTCGGTTTGCACTATGGCGCGGTGCGCCTTTACTCGCAGGAACAAGTGTTGCACACATACGTGTATTGGCATCGTTGGGTTCACAAATCGGGGGAATACAACAGCCTAGGAGGGGGAAAGGGTCGGGCTCGAACCGTTGTTGGGTCTCAGGTTTGGCTGAACATCTTGCCGGCGAGGAGTCGGCGCTCCTGCTCTCTGCACTCACGATCTATTCGGTCCAGGTTGGCCAGTTCTCGATCCACGCAGGTCGTCATCGTGTCCGGTGCGAGGCTTTTAACCCGCAGGAAGTCTGCCTCGGCCAGTTGGACGTCTGAGGTGGCGGAGTACGCTTGTGCTCGTCGAAAAAGTGCCTTTACATTGTCCGTGTCTCGCGTCAACGCCTCGCTTGTGCTCCGAATTGCTCCGTAGTAGTCCTGGGCGTAGTTATGAGATAACAACTTTACTACTAACAACCTCCGGGTAGGGTGGGCGGGGGAGTGAATTTTCGCTGACCTTCAGTTTGAACTGGCATTGCGCCATGTTGACGTAAAAGGGGACGCGCATTTGGTCTAGGCGCACGTGCTCCGGATCACCGGGCTTCTCAGAAAGTGAGAGCTGTTCAATGAGGTTGAGGGCCTCCTCGTACTTAGTCGCGGCCTCAAACCATTGGCCCTGGGCGTAGAGCTCGTTGCCAGCTTGTCGCAGACGCGGAATCGCCTCCACCTTCTCCTCCGGGGTCATTATCCAGCTCTCTTTTGGACCTTCGTGAGGCAGGACCACCCTAAGTTGCACAGATAATTGATAGCATCTTAGAGCAGCAGCGGCACCGGCCTAGATGAATTGACTCCTATGCTATAATTGCAATGCTTTAAAGGCAGGTGGTTGACGTAGGAGTACCTGAGGAATTCCATTGCTATAAACATTCTCTTTGACCCCTAAAGCTGCAAATTTGCAGGCATGCCAAGAGTTAATCACCATCGGCTTACTTTAAGCCGCTGAATAGCAACTCCGAAAGCACGACTTTGAATCCAAAACAGAAGATGCGAGTGGCAGGAGTGTATCAAAGAACTTGAACTGGTGTCGTCGTTACCGAGAGGGGGTGATGAAGTTGCAAAAACTTGGATCTACAGGTGTCCTTTGTGGCCCTAGTCTGAGCTGCAGCAGCATTGTTTGTGTGAGCGAGTAGATGTTTGCTTTTGAGCGTATGACCTCTCGGTTCGCCAATCATAAATTTGTTCGATAAGAAACTCACATGCCCGCTTATTGCATTGGCGAGTGGGCATTTTGCTGAACGATCGTTGGTATTTCAATAGTTTAACTAAAATCCGCATTAACTTAAAGTGTTTAGCCGTCAATTTTGGGGGAAAGTCGACTACTGCGGCCCAAGTATTGGTTTGATTGTTCGAATGCAGCATCAAAAATTGAACTGCTGAACTTACTTATTTAACAGCGACCCAACTAAGAAAAACTGCAAGTGTTCTCGGGCTACGAACATCTTAAATCCCCCTTGAAGGTTTGAAATCAACCAATATGTTCGCGACATGGTTTGTTACAACCAGTTATCACAAACGGAAAAGAAAACATGTCACATATTTGTGACACTGGCCTCAGATAAGAAGATCCAAGCGCCATGTAAGGAGTGAAGACCATTGAGGAGTGAAACGTCCATCACAAACGAGTAGTACGACAGGGGCAGCAAATAGGCGAAATAATTTGCAAGAACATTAAAGTCGTACTCTACGAGAAAGAAGGTCTGGCATTAGCTTTACAAGAGATGAAAGCGGTATATGTTGAAATACACAAGATTAAAAATGAGGCGCCTACGAGTGAAGATCGAAGATGAACTCGAGCATACGAGGCTTGGCAAGAAGGTCATCGAGATCGGGATAACCCAGGCCGCCCTGGGCCTGCAGACTCATGAACGCACAAGTGTGTTTGGGTGGGTTTGCCGAGTCCGCTGTCCGATCAAGCATATAGTCGCGCAGCTTCTTGTTCACCGCTGGAAAGGCAACCAATTGGCGTGGCGGCACCATAAAGGCCGCCACCTCCCCCACCACCATCGTCTGAAGACAGTACTCCCAGAACTACACAATTTCAAATGCACAGAACTTGTTCGACTATACACAAAGAGAATGGAATATAAAACCCTCGAGAGAGGTAAAAGTGGTGCAGAATCAGGTGATTTCCAGTTTACTTCCTGGCTGTGGTTTGAATGTCATTTGAGCAGGCCCAATAGAGATTCTAGAATGGATCTTACTAAACCTGCGCCAACTTTTCCGCTACTTTGAACCAATAAATGTATCAACGGCTCTTGAATCGTCTCTGCCTTACACAATAATGGACTTTAAAATGAGATTCACAAGGCACAGTCACAAAACCAAATTTGCATGGAAATGCAAATTCCTCCTCGTAAGAATTGTGTAAAAAGATATCAAAGACGAGCTTTACACAGTGCAAGCAAACCGACGTGCGTTTCAATTTTAAAAGTGAGAAGTACATTATTGTGCATGCGGAAAAAGGAATAGCTTACTGCCTAAATCGCTTGGGGAAGATTCACTTACGACTCATCTGTGCTGAGTAAGGAAAATATCTTCACCCTCTCCCCTCTCCTCAATGCCATCCTGGAAACAACTCACTACATGAAATCACTCTTAAAAAGTAGCTTTTCGCAATTCGTTAGTCAAGAAAAGCCAATCTCTAGGATCCGTGACTTAGGCTGAAAATGTGCCCAAGTAAATATAGGCAAAAGATGAAAATTCATTGAGCTATTTGGTGAGGGACAGTTCTCACTAGGCGCCGCCGCTTATACTTAAGTCGAACGAGGACTACTGATTTTACAGCCACAAAAAAGGGATACTGCAGGCGGCTGCAAGCAACACTTGCTCCCCATTGCTAGTAGACAGTGCTTATTTCGTGGGTCAGTGCATTCCGCACATCCCTCATCATGGTGGAGAATAGTAGTGATAATGAATATGTGGACCCGACAGCATGCAGTAACCAATCAAGTTTCGTCCAAACTCAAATCTGCGGACATTCAAGCTTGTCTGCAACAGACTACAATCACAATACGGTCCAGTGATGGAATCCTCAACGACTCAGCAATACGATATTCTGATGGTGCCCACATTCCAAAGACGGCATTAGGTCCAAACATTACTGAAGACCTCAACTGTGATGGTCCAGTTGCCGGAACATAGCCCCGGCAGCCATCCCTGTGAGCGAACATTCAGCCAATGGGTGATATGCCTGATCGACGCACATGCTGCCCTGAAATTGTCGACGTGAATCACAGAAACGCCAGCCTGTCTTGAACGCCCTTCGTAAAATGAAGATTTTAGTCAGACACACGACATAACTAAATAATGGAACTAGATAGGGCATGCTAAAGCGCAGAAATCCCGTCTAGCCTGCTATGGTCCGCATACACGTTGCACATGGCTCCCAACACTTTTGCGCAATTCCATTCATCCGATTCCCCTGAATCACTAGTGAGTCGGCTATATTGTCTACACGAGGGGAGAAGAGGAAAAAGAAGACTTTGCTACAGAATTAGTCGGGCCTAAAGTGACCAGAAAGCCTGCGCGCACCTCAATCTGAAAGTCCTTTCCACAATACAGCTCCATCCTCTTTCCATACTTCTTCGTATCATCGATAAAGACCTCCGGTGCATCCGGATCCCTGATTCGATAGTCAAAGATAAATTTGGTCAGCTTGGGATAAGCGATGCCTCCACCGGGAGCACCACACTCAGCAGGCATACGTGAAGCACTACCAACATGGATGATGCGTTTGCGAATATTGTGTCGTGCAAGATAGGCCAAGGCCGCTGAGAGTGGAGGCTTTTTGTTCGCACTGTCGGGTAGACCATCCTCACGTGCTCGTCGGAGCGCCTCGGCCATCCGATTGATCAGCTTTGCACTCTCCTCCTTGGAGCCAACGCCGCCGTCATCAAAGTGGTCATCACAGGAGATGGAATCATGAGTTGTCGAGGCCTCCGTAACGATCGCCGTCTCTCCGGTAGCTGGTGTCGAGCCACTCTCATTCTCTCCTTCCTTTGTCTTCTCCTTCCCGTTTTTTTTGTCCTTGGTGCTCAGGCTCTAGAAGAAGACCGATATCGATGAATGGCAGGCACTGATTTAATTAATAAGTTCTTTCGTGCACCTCCGTACCATATTAGACGTCTTCAGGGATATAACTGGGGCACCATAAAACTTCAGAGGCAAAAGAAAGGGAGGAAATTAGGTGGGTTTATTCCCTTCTATCTGATAAGTTTTCTTTGACTCAATTAATTAATTAATTAATTAATAGCTCTGCACAATCTTGGAATCTACTCAGTAGGGTATACCCGTACTGCCGCTACAGACGCCATGACCAAATGAAACATCTATCCAAATGATGGGAAAGGTAGATGATGATGCTCACTTCCACCTGATTTGTTTAATCTGACTAAATGACAAGGATACCACCCTCTATGAGATAAGCGTGTTTGCAGAGGCATTCCCATTGAAAATATCCAAATGAGCTAATCATGATGACTAGGTTCGGATAAAACTGATAACATTTGATTAATTCATCATTCCATTGCGGCACCTGGTGCCTCAACTCGAGGTTGCTTACGTCAGTGGAGATCACGAAAGGCAAAAAGGTTATCTAATATCAAGAATGCATAGTTAATTATTTTCCACCAAAGCAAATTACAGACTTATCCTGAGGTCTCGACTTAGTGTTAGTCAGCTAGAATTGTTTCAAGGAAGCCAATGTCAACTAGCCAACCAGCCAGCAAAAATTAGAAGTACTATCCATAAAAACTCTCCCATGCTACTAAGGTTGGCGTAATTATTGTCCAATCTGAAAAAGAATCATCAACAAAAGCTGTTAAAGCACTACCGCCTTCATACCATCCCAAGAGAAAATTCTTATGTGAACAAATCAAAAGGTACTAAAACCGCATCGTAAGTGGGGTATTTTGCAACATTCCACTTCACTTGGATGGGGGATTCTAAGGCGTACGTTTCTTCATGGAGCAGCACAACTTTCCCTTCTTTCAGAGTAGATTGCGGACATTCCAATTCATCGTGAAACATGAAACTGTAGTTTCACGGCTCTACTGAGTTTATAAAATAGGCGTTCGAGAATCCAAGACGATGGTCGGGCTCAACATTACGGCCGAGTTACACCATGTTAGATAACGAATACTTCCTCACAATCGTGTGATGGTGGAATCCTATTTCACCACCAGCAGTTACTGGCTAAATTGGCAATTACTACAAATCTTCAACAAAATTACATACGTATAGAAGTTTTGGGGATCGAAACACATTCTATCACTAGAAAATTCAAATTTAACTTTAATTTAAAGTAAGACTACAATTAGCATCTGGAGAGTACGATTGAATATGAAACCTTTTTTAGTGGTAATGAAGAGATGGGGAAGAAGTCCGCCTTTGTAGCTGTCGTTTTTTTAAAAAAAACGTCCCCAAAGCCCAATAAACAGAAAATTTGCGTGCACGGGACAGCGTGCGCCTTTGAACTGGCCCGATCAGCCCCATTAGTAGTGCCCAAATTAGACACAAAGCAAGCAAGTTATTTGTTGCCCTGAAAAAAGAACCATTAAAGGGAGCACTTCATACGGACTCCAGGGCTATTCAATGAGAATGCAAAAAGGCACACTAACTCATCACATCGGTGCAGAACAAATAAGAAGTTTAAAAACCAAAAACTTCGATCAAAAAACTATTTATTGATAAAGTCAATCTCATCGTTTTTCCGTTATATAACATGAGTGGCAGGCGCGGAAGAAGAGAGAAGCAATAGTGGGCTTTGAGAAAAGCACAGGCGTTTTTTACTGGTGGAATGCTGAAAAGATAAATTAATGTGTAATGAGAAGGATGGAGTCCAGAACAATCGCGGGTGCATCAGAGAAACGGAAAATCACAGAGATCGGTGGTGATCTGGTTTTTAGAGCGGCTATTGATCGCCTGCCTTTCTGTTCTCCTCCAGACAGGAGAGACGTTTGAAAATCTCATCCAACTGTGTTGTGGTCGACTGTCGAATCTCATCCAGACTTGCAGACAGAGTGCAAATACCTGCAAAGAAGGAATGGGATGATGACACAAATAGACAACCAGTTCATTAGCTAGTAATCAACGTATTCCATTGAAGCTCCGACACCCCGGATGTTCGAACGAACATAAAGTTACCACTTATGACCCTAACTACCCGAGTGACATGTGCCCGTAGTGAATTGGCAAGGTCAAAAAATGGTTCTGTTGCTATAATGAATGCACAGCCCCTTGGACATCGAGGCGATCACGAAGGATGAGATAATAAGCCAAATATGAGCAACGAGTCCTTCTGTCCTGTTTTACACGAAACCAAAATTCAGTACCGCGTGCCAGATGAATGCCTAAGCAACGGATAGAGGCATGTGGTTATAGTAACCGATAGTAACTGACAAATGATAATGCTTCACCTCAAAATGAGAAAAAATTTTTTAGAATAAAAAAGCTCACCAAACGAATCAAGCGAATCAATTCGTAAAAAAGCGCGTTTTACTAATGGTACGGGCTCTTCAGTAGTCTCAATTTGACCACCACATCTGAACCATGATTCTCCGCCCATGCTTCCGGCTTTCCGGCCTGTTTGTACATTGGTACTAAGTCCTCGTCCATGTTATTATCGCTTATTACGTCTCCAGGGCATGACTCGAGGCTATGGACTGCATAATAACAGAGTTTAACACTCACGAATAAATTTTGTCCAGTAACTACCATCTTTAGGACAGTTCTTGCAATATTTGGAGTAAACGGGACGCTATATTTAATGAGAAGAACGTGCTCACCTTTTTCATCATGTAACAATTAGAAATTCACAAAGTAGAGATTCAAGATGATAGTTACCTCAATAACGCATGCAAGCACTTTGCACGCAAAACCGCGCCCATACATCGTCCCTCCTATGCATCAAAAAAAAGACTAAGAGGGAGGGAACAAATGACAACTTCAAGCAAGACACGGTCAATACATCGTCCCTTAGTACTACTCGGGTAAGCAAGCTTTCACTCAATCAAGCGTGGAAATTGATTATCCTGTGACGCGGCTAAAGTCAAGGAGACAAATTCAACACCGGAACTCCACGGATGAGAAGTATCAACCGAGTGTGAAAGCGGTGAAGAAGTGGTTCCGGAGCCATCGAAGCCTAACCATCAACAAAATCGAGCAAGGGTCAGGCAAAGAAAAAGAACCTACACAAGCGTTAAGAAAGATTATTCCATGCATACATAAGCGTGATTTGGTCCTAGAAAAATGGAATCTTTATGCAAAAATGGGAAAGATATAGGTTTTGTTAGAAATACGAATATGCAAGCTAGCTCTCAAGTGATGCAAATGTACCAAACTTCTTCATGCTGTAAGATATTTTAGAAGCAAGCAAAAAGGCTTGAAGAATAACACGGACGGAATTTTGGAAAATAAATATCCCAGAAGATGTGCAACATCCCTTGTTTGCGAATCGAACGCGTAAATGCTCCCTTTGACGCCCAATCGCCATCTCTCTTCCCCCCTCCTCTCCGAGAATGGGAAATTCAAGTAGAATCCAGATTTCTCCCGATGACGTTATAATGATCTAAAGCACCACTGAAAACGTACCAACGAAAAGAAGGAATGAGAGAATAGAAGCATAAGTGGGAAGATCGGAAATACAAGTCACCAACTTAGAGGTCGGATGGAAAGAGGCTGCTAGAGGCAGTAGCGGTACTACATATTTCCAGCCATGATTTGAAGGTCTTTTCCTTCCACCTTTCGACCGCGAGACACAAAAGATATGTGACTTTCCATTTCAGCGAGAAGACTCCCGAACCCATTCATATTCTAAAGGCAAAATTCACTTTACCAAATTGGGTGAATCACCTTTATCCAGGTACCATTCCCCCCGTCATCCCCCGTTGCTATGCTAAGGCTGCCTACCTATTAATTTGCTTCCTCTTCATTTCTAATTCAATTTACTTGCTCGTAAAAGGGAGGACATCAATCGAAGAACAATCACAAGCCAAAATGCATAAGGGAAGTAGGGGCTTTGTGAGACGTTTTTACAAATAACGATAGAGAGAAATCGAAATGTCAGACGTGTGGAGGTCTAAGTTACATTCTTAAATGTCACAACTAGCACACTAATTAGTCCGTCCTAGAAGTGAGTTGAGCAGTGAGTAATTACTGCGATATCATGTAGGAGTTATCGGAAGATTACCTTTACCTATTTTTTCCCCCTCCTCCCAAGCCTCTCTTCACTCCAGTTGCATCTTTCGGTGTTCGCATCGACGGGATCAGTACTCGTAAATGTAACACTTAGGCGCATCTCACAGTTTCCACTTAACCTCATGTCATAAATTTCGTTTGAGACGGCTCTAGTAGTTAACTGATTTGCCAAAATTCTTTCAATGTCTCATTCTTACCCCTGATTGGGTTTTTAGCCTTCTCTTCTACCTGAGTCTGATCGAAAAGTCGAAAAAAGTTTTGGTCATTTAATACTCATTACTTATAGTATTACAGTGGCAAAATAGGAGCCTGGCTGAGAACCGAAACGCACGCAAAATCAAGAGCAGGCATTTTGATATTGCTTCCATTTAAACTTTGGTATTCCTACCTGGCATTCTGTCAACAGTGGAAGCTGATGTCGCGTCAGATCGTTTTGGCATTGCTATTTAACACCTACTTTTCCTTGCTGGTTTATTACTAAGCAGGCTACTGAAAGATCCACGTTATCGCCTCTCGATCGTCCATTATTCACCTTAGTTGAGTAGCAGGGAGAAGGAATCGCCTCATCAAACTTTGCTCTTTATATGAGAAAGACGTCAGCAAAAAGCCTCTCTAGGCACAAGGTCATGAAGACGGCAAGAAACTTGCGAAGCAGAGAGGTAATAAGGGGGAGGGTAGGGACAGAGACGAGAAAACACCTCCATGAGGTGATTAAAAAGTGTACGGGCAGTGGCTTCTAATGGTTCTCTTTTACTTTTAGAGCTACAGATGATGAGAAAGATGAAAAAGAGCGTACACTTCTACACTCACACCTTACACACGTGTGAAATCGTTTTTGTTAGTGCTCAAGCGAAAAGCATGGAATTTGACCCTTACCCGGTCAGCCTTCAGTCCTAATGAGAACAAAGTTTACCTGCTGGTTTTTAATTGAAATTGAAAAAAAAAGATGACGAGAAGGAGACCTTAAAGCATGCACACGAGGATGGGAGCAGGATGCTGTATCAAGGTGAGAATGAAACAGCATCTTGTCAAAAGGGTGAAAGAAACATCTGAGTGGCTATTTGAGGCGCTCCATCAAAATCAAAAAAAATTGTGCCGATGTAATGACTCAGTGACG